AAAGCCAACTTGGATAATGGCGGGATTTTGTATCAGCCAATTGAACAGTAACTAATCGTGTTCCTTTTGATACAAGTAGACAATAGTGAAAAAATGACAGCTATCAGTAATAGCGTTAAGTTAAAATTGTGCTGCAAATACTAAGTAGAATTTATAAGGCAATACCTTGCTGTGTGAGGTGACATGGATTTAGAATGCTGTGTAAAAACTAGACGAGACCACTGACGGGCCGTGAGGTAGGGGTAAACTTTTGAATGGGAAGGATTTGTGCAACGCCACTTGGCAGAAAGGTGGTCCAGAATGTTTGCCAGAGCATGGGCTACTTTAAATTTGGCGGCACAGCCTTTATTGTTATTTTGCAGACGATTTTCGTGTCGACTGTGAGCTGTGCCGCCATTGGGGGCTAAGCAGAAGGACGGGGGCAAAGCAGAATTGCGCCGGGGGCGTAGAGGAACGACGGGGGCGAAGCAGATTTTTTGCGGGGGCGAAGCAGAACGGGGCGGGGGCGAAGCAGAACGGCGGGGGCGAAGAGGAAGGAGTTTCATGGGGGTGTTAATGCTGTTGTAAAATTGCCTCCTGTGGTGAAGACAATCCCGAGATAGCAGTATGAGGAGACTATCTCTATGTCTTTGTTGTGGGAGTGAAATTTGAGATTTGGGTACATATGTCCCTTTTTGTTGAATACAATTACTTTTCTTTGGTTAGATTGATTGATAATTTCCATTTTTTACTAGATGTGTTTAACAGGGGTGCATCAAAATTTCCCGTATTTAGTTCATTTGTCTAACTCCAATCTCGATTGGAAAACTTTCACTCAAGCCCGAGGTTGTTTTTACACATGGTACTGATTGGCTGTAAAGGCTTTTTATTATGTTGAAGAACTTACCAGCAATGCTATTTGATAGAATTTTAAATAGTAGACCTCCGTGCCAGATGGACCCAACACTTTGGAATAATTGGAGGTCCCTCACATTACTATGTTGTGATACAAGAATTTTCTCCAAATGTTTAGTTTGACGTGTAAAATCTGACATTATTCATAATGATCAAACATGTTTTATTAACCCTTGTCCTGCTGTGCGCAACATATGTCGCTCAGCACATGCAGTACCATCTATATAACACCCTGAATAGGTACCATGTATAGGCCCCAGTTTATATCTTGGGTTACAACTTTATTACGAGCGTTGTGTCAAACAATGGCTATATATCAAATCCTTTTACTTTATATCGTGTTGTTTGACAAAGTTGTCCCCTGGGCCTCTATCTATATATTATTGTTGTAGAACTGTTGGCCATTAGATACGCAGTAATCAAAACATGACTGGTTTATCTGTTCATGGAAGGCCTTTTAAAATTTCTCAATATGCTGATGATACCAATTTCCCCTTTGTTCCCAAGTTAACATCCTTTAACGCCCTTATTGATTATTCACAAAGTTTTTCCCATCTTTCGGGTCTGTCTTTAAATTTTGACAAGTGTAAGATACTCAAAATTGGTTCTTTAAAAAAACATGGATTTTAAACTACCTTTCCATCTACCTATTCAATGGGTAGATATGGGGAGGTAGACCTTTTAGGCATACCTAAGGATTTAAACACCATTATTAGCTGCAATTTTTTTTGTAATCTATGAGAGAAAAATATTTTCCTTTATTTGGAATGGGGACCGGAAAGGTTCAGCAGGAAAGCAATTTATAACTCAATTGAAATTGGTGGTTTGAATTTGATTAATTTATAATAATTATATGCCTTTTCCCCCACCATTAAAGCTTCATGGATGCCAAAATTATATTTTAATCCTGATTGGTTTACCTCCTGGTCTAGTTTTTCCAGTTAGATAGCTTACAGTACCTGAAACTAAATTCTTTCTTATATGATATTGTATATGCTTGGTATAAATATCAACAGAAGGCCCCCACAACTCCAGCTGAGATTAGACAACAGCTTTTATTTATGAATTCTAATATCCTTTTTGGTGGAAAACCTTTCTTTTAAATGCTTTTTTAAATAAAAGAATTCTGTTTGTAATGATGTTTTCTATTTACATGGTTCCCTCATGTCATATATTTAATTTTGTATTTTTCTTTTTAAATCTTTCTTTATTGAATTTTCCAAAATAAATTAACGGTAACAAAATATGGCATGGCATTGTGCAAAAAGGAATACATGGTGAACCACAAAAACAAAACGTAAAATCCAGGTACAATAATAGTGTTGTGCAAATTTTACAGATAAACCCTGTTGCCCCTTATTACATGGTTTAAAATTACAAATGGGTTTTTGTAACTCTTTTAAATATTTGTTTAACAACTTTTTATCTATTCTGAAAAAATTGTATTTAATTTTCCCCATTTCCCCCTATGTTTTAATAGTTTGTGTTGCCTATACGCAATGTTTAATTCTAGTCTATAAAAGTAAGAAACATAAGATATAAATGCAGATAAACTTAAGGAATACTTACGATTTTTAAAAATAAACATTTTACCCAGGAGTACTATAACATTGGAGAGAACCGGGCATCGATCAGTCAGGTTACCAAACATTATATTGATTGCGTTGATTTGTAAATGAGTACCAGTGATGTTGAAGAACCAGTCGTCCACCTGACTCCAAAAATATGCAGATATTCGACAATACCAAAATAGGTGGACGACTGATTCTTCTTCTCTTTACATATTGGGGCAAATTGGTGAGTCTATTAACCCCCATAAATAATGTTATATTATTTTTGTAAGTTAAAAATTTGAACAGCAGTTTGTATTGAAACATATGAGTGTTTGAGTCAATAGAAAGTTAATACGGCAAATTATACACTTTGTGCCAAGGTAAAGGGGTATCAAAATATTCCTCCCACGAAAATTTAATTTTGTCAGACGAGTCCCATAAACTGGCTTCGTTCATAAAAATGAATACAGATCTTTATTAATATTTCCCTTACGTAGCCAGCTTATGTTTCTACAGACTGGAAGACAAACACCCAGGTTTGGAGATGTCTGTTTTAACGTGGTTTTCCAACAAGAAGGAATTGCAGAAATAACTTGATTGTACTTAAATTCGGAACAGGCTTCCCCAAATTTTTGAGTCAGATCATCAAATGATAAAAACCTATTTTGTAAGTCTAGAATGCCATTTACAAACACTACTCCTCTACTAAACATTAGCTATGAAAAGAAAGAAATGAAAAGAAACGGAAGAAAATTGCATTTGTTGATGATTATTACATAAATCATATCAAACATAATATTTTCTTCTGTTTCCCATGGGTGCTTTTTGGTGCATTTGGGGTTTTCTGATGCACAAGATGTATAATATCACCAATCAACAGAGTTTGTAGAAAAGCACTTTAGTTTGGTGAAGTTTGAGCACCATTTTTAAAGCAAATGTTTGCATAAATGTTTATGACACAATGTAAGAAGTTGTACATAAGTTACAAAAGTCAGATAGCCTCATACACTACTTGAGTCCTTTGATAATTCAAAGAACCAAAAATTACTGGTCAAATTGTTGCCATTGCTGCACTTTTAAAGGAAACATGACAAGACTATATGCCTGGTGCTGACAGTCAGCCATCACCATCAGTATCACCCCCCCCNCCACGAAAATTTAATTTTGTCAGACGAGTCCCATAAACTGGCTTCGTTCATAAAAATGAATACAGATCTTTATTAATATTTCCCTTACGTAGCCAGCTTATGTTTCTACAGACTGGAAGACAAACACCCAGGTTTGGAGATGTCTGTTTTAACGTGGTTTTCCAACAAGAAGGAATTGCAGAAATAACTTGATTGTACTTAAATTCGGAACAGGCTTCCCCAAATTTTTGAGTCAGATCATCAAATGATAAAAACCTATTTTGTAAGTCTAGAATGCCATTTACAAACACTACTCCTCTACTAAACATTAGCTATGAAAAGAAAGAAATGAAAAGAAACGGAAGAAAATTGCATTTGTTGATGATTATTACATAAATCATATCAAACATAATATTTTCTTCTGTTTCCCATGGGTGCTTTTTGGTGCATTTGGGGTTTTCTGATGCACAAGATGTATAATATCACCAATCAACAGAGTTTGTAGAAAAGCACTTTAGTTTGGTGAAGTTTGAGCACCATTTTTAAAGCAAATGTTTGCATAAATGTTTATGACACAATGTAAGAAGTTGTACATAAGTTACAAAAGTCAGATAGCCTCATACACTACTTGAGTCCTTTGATAATTCAAAGAACCAAAAATTACTGGTCAAATTGTTGCCATTGCTGCACTTTTAAAGGAAACATGACAAGACTATATGCCTGGTGCTGACAGTCAGCCATCACCATCAGTATCACCCCCCCCCCCTGGGAACTAACGGAATGTGATAGGTTAGTAAGGTAAAATACTAAAATACTAGAAAATACTAGACAAGTAACATTTGCAAAGAAATTACATGATGTTTTCCTTCGTATATGACCTGCTCTGATAATTCGTACTCAAATATATATGGTCAGACTGGAGTCCCTACTACTGATGAAATTGCAACATCATGTAACCCAACACCAGTTACCATGGCGACAGACGTCAACAAATCAGATCATTGGCCAGGTAGGAACGGGGGAAGAAGAAGAAGAAGAGAAAAAACAATGTGTTGTCGTTCAGTTAGAAATATTGGAAACAGTCCATATACTAGTATTTCAGAAATGGCTGCAAAGTGGAGTCTGTGCTTATGAAGTAAATAAACCATTATTATAATACAGTAAACATAATAAATGGTAACGATAACTTTGGTGTCATTGTGACGTCATTTTTGCGTCTTGTTTGGGCAAAAACCGTTAAAATGGGTTTACCCGTTAAAATCACAGGAATATATTGTATAGTTTTTTAAAAGATCTACTAAGACTTTGACGTCAAAATGCAAAATTAGGCTAAAGCAGGTAATTTTCATGGATGACATCAATGACTCATTTCTGAAAAAAAAATATGTGGCCGAAAATGGGCAAAGATGTCTTCCCCTATGCCGGAATGTGGTTGGCAGATAACTATAAAGAGAGAGGAAAACACAAGGCTCTGAATCAATGTTTTGTCTTTTACTTTGATGCAGTGATGTATCTGCTCCCTTCTACATGTAATGGTGGCTGTGTGTGTTCGATGTTCTACAAAATCGAAACCATTTGTACGATGATTGAAAACTTCTATTTTTCAGACTGACCTCTGACTTGTGGCATGTGTAATTAAAAACGTAGCATCGGCATCTACTGATTATATAAATGGCTAGCATAATACATGACAAATGCCATAATCATTTATTGATAACTGCGGGAATCTTACCGCCTTTGGACACTCAAGTCAGGATCTTATTTGTGAAACATTAATTTACGAAGAAATGCTGAAAAATCCTTCTTTGTTGAGAAAACACCTTACTGGGTGGAAAATATGTTTAACTGATATACAGATGTGGTTCATGTAAATGAGTATCGTATTTGCAAAATCAATGAAAGAAATTCATCCTTCGTAAATGTTAAACCCAGAGAAGGTCGTGGACAGGCAGCGTATGAACTAGAGAAGAAAAAGCCACTGTATGCCACTTTTGGTAAAAAAAATACCAAACACACACACACACACACACACACACATTAATACTACTACTGTGTTAGCCACACAAGACTGAGCTGGCTAATTACATAAACTACAAACCTTGGTATATTCTTACTAGATGAACCCTAAATATGACATAGTCGCACAATTACAATACTATACTATTAGTTAACCGTTTGCCGGATATGACAGTACAAAGGTTTCGCCCAAGTACAGCCCAGCTTGGTTGATGGCAGTGATGACAACGAAGTGTTCCTTGTTGTTATCAACGTCGTTCATGCTGATCTGAGTCTCCTCTGTTTCCAGCCACTTCATGACGTCACATCCGCCCGGGTAAGTCCCGACAGACACCTCGTACACCAGGGAGGAGTTACTGACGAAAACGTCCGTCCAGTCCAACTGTAGAACCGACGGCTGAGGCCACCAACTCCGGAGGGTGGGATCTGTGAATCCAGAACTCTACGTTTAGCTCAGTGTAACAGTATATGCATGATGCCATAACTGATACAGTTATACATGAAACAGTTACTGACGAAAGCGTCTGTCCAGTCCAACTGTAGCACCGACGGCTGAGGCCACCAACTCCGGAGGGTGGGATCTGTGAATCCAGAACTCTACGTTTAGCTCAGTGTAACAGTATATGCATGATGCCATAACTGATACAGTTATACATGAAACAGTTACTGACGAAAACGTCTGTCCAGTCCAACTGTAGAACCGACGGCTGAGGCCACCAACTCCGGAGGGTGGGATCTGTGAATCCAGAACTCTACGTTTAGCTCAGTGTAACAGTATATGCATGATGCCATAACTGATACAGTTATACATGAAACAGTTACTGACGAAAACGTCTGTCCAGTCCAACTGTAGCACCGACGGCTGAGGCCACCAACTCCGGAGGGTGGGATCTGTGAATCCAGAATTCTACGTTTAGTCGAGTGAATGTAATACTGTAACAGTAAACTTACGATACCAAAAAGCAGTTACTCAAGCAACTGGATATGATTTTGAAAGACAGTGACAATGACAGTGACTGACGAAAGCTAGTGGATACTAGCTGAAACGTCTGGCGTTTTCAAAATCATTTCCAGTTGCTTGAGTAACTGCTTTTTGGCGTATCGTATTACCCGGATGTCTAATCTTCATCGACGTAACGATACCATATACTGATACAGTTATACATGACACAGTTACTGACACATGCAGTTATACATGATACAGTTACTGACGAAAACGTCCGTCCAGTCAAACCGCAGAACCGACGGCTGAGGCCACCAACTCCGGAGGGTGGGATCTGTTAATCCAGACTTCTACATTTAGCCCAGTGACTGTGATACAATATACATGATACAGTTACTGACGAACAGTTTGTGTTTGTTTCGCCATTTTCGGTGCATAACCGGTAAACAACCTTAGCATGAAATAACAGTTCAGTACCAGCTGCTACGAATCAGACAGTAAGGTCTGAATAGAAGAGCCCACTCTCAATGATAACATATATAATCCCAACTTATTTTCTTTTTGACAGCAAGAATATCAATTTACGACATTTCGGGGAGCAATGTGTCCTCGAGTTCATGCCTTATCGAATAGCATTAATAGAATTATTACAGAATAGCATCGCGGTCTGAACATGGCGCGCTACGACAGAAAATTACCTACCAACTAGGTGTGGTTCCTCTGTCTCGATGACGATATCTGAGGATGCTACGTCACTGACCACGCCCACATGATTGACAGCCCTGACCTGGACCTGGTACGTGTTGTAGGAGCGGAGATGGAGTCCTGACAGGGTGACGTGATTCTCCCTGTACAAACCCACATCTGTCCATGGGAAGTCAGGTCCATCCTGGCTTAACACCCGGACCTGTAAAGAGAGATATCCTACAAGTCACCACTAGAACGGGTGAATATGCCCTTCCCAAATGTGCCCGTGATCATGAAGCCTTGCTGTGGTGGCGTGATCATGGGCAAATTTTGAAGGACATAGATGTATCGGCGTAGAACATGCGTTTTGAAGACATGTACTGCAAAAGCAAACTATAAGAGCAACAAAAGCGCACAAACTGTGCGACAAAATGTTACTACAACGCTTTACCTGGTAGTGGTGGATGCCAGACTCATCAAAGAACCCGGACCAGGTCACGTGGATGACGTCAGTGGCGGCCTGATGCTGACCTCGGATCGGGTAGTAAGATGAAGAACTCGACACCGTCTCAACTATAGCGGCATTGCTAAACAATGGCATACAATGATAATTAATACAAAAAGAACATACAGTGTGTCATAGTCATAAGTTGCACTATATATATAAGTAGCTGATACATTACTGGTGCTCTCAAAGTACCCAAGAGCGTTATGGCTGATAACAAGAACAACATTTACTATAGTTTATGGACCACACAATAATAAAGATGATAATGAGAGGATCTAGTAATGTTTGTTCATTAACTCTGACACACCTGTCAGGTGGCTGTAGAACGATAGTGACGCCGTCTGACGTGACGTGTGACGACACCCCGGCATGGTTGGTACAGCGGACTGTTGGGAACACCGTCTGTCCATGAGTCAGGTTCCCGCCCAGGTCAGACACGGCGTGTGGCACATGTACAGACGGCAGGCGTACAAATGGCTGGAGTTCCCCGGACCCTGGCGACAGTCCTGTGACGTCAAACAATAGAAGGGTACATTGGAAGCCGGATTTACCAGTTCTTTATCATATTCTCTCATCGTGCGTTTATCAAACCGTTTGTCCTTCTTGTATTGCACAGAGCCTTTGTCAAAGGCCTTATGATAATGCCGTAGCATGTTAATTATGCACATCCATCTTCAGTTAATATTTTACCCTCAAAGATACAAGTGATGGAGTCGTCATTCACTTCTCCTAAGCTGTGTACATTAGATATATTTCTAGTCGCCTGTGCCTGGATACTCTAGTCTAGGTTAGGTACCCTGACCTGAAAATACGAAAATACGTACCGATTGTCCAGTCACAAAAGTCCACTCCACTCTCTTCATCACGCACATCCCAGTACAGGGAAATAACGTACGTGTTCTGGTAGTCCAGGTCCTCTAGTTGACTTCCGTCCTACAATAAAGAAGAAACCTTTATTGCACAATTTAAATGGTATAATGCATGGCAACAGCATTATCATTTTTAACACAGCACAAACAAGGTAAAGAATAAAACTTAACATTCTTATTACTAAAACAATAAGGGCTATCATAAAAGTCAATATATCATTCATGTAGTGTTACAATTGAGTGGGGTTAATAGTGAGTTGATATGAAAAGATGATACAGATGCAAGTATGTTGAAATAGTGATGATATATGCGTCAGCACGTTGTAACATCAAAAAGCAAAGAATGTTATTAGGTCCGGTGAAGTTGCTGAAATTACCTTTACGTCAGAGATAACTGGCGGTGTCAGGTCCACCAGGACCGGGTCCGAGTACACGACTGTCTTCAGGTCTGCTGCGTTCTCTGCCACCACGGTCACGTGGATAAAGGCGCCGTGGTACAGCCGGATGTCACTGTTCTGGGCATGCGTGTTTCTTCCGAATGATCTGAAGGTCTGTAGTTGTGTTCCACCTGTAGATGGCAGCGGTCTGAGTGTTATTACCTCCAGGCTCCGGGTATGGAAGAATATTGTTTTGGGGGTAGAGATGTGGTTTTATGTGTCCAGTAGATAGTAGGTGAACAGCATGTGAGTGGGGGAATTTGACGGGCAGAATGTCAGGTGGTCAAACGGTTAGACGCCGAACACGTGCCCAGAACACGGCTCTGGTCGGGAGCCAGCAGGAATATTGAGCCGATACTTCCTGGAAGACTGACATCCCTGATTGTCTATCAAAACAGTTCAATTTTACCTGTCATTCACGCGTGTTGCATATTAGTGTCCAGGTTCACATCATGACATTAGAAAGGGAAAGACGGGAAAAAATCTGCATCAACTGTGCTATGGTTTGTTCACTTTAGGAAAATGCTTCTTTAAAACAGTCACGCTACACATATCCATGATGTCTATCTTTCGGATTCGTTTTATACTGCTAAATCTATATCTTCACCGCAGCGTTAGCGAAACTTGACTGAAATGGTTGGTGTCAATGAGTTTATTTTTAAAAGTTGCCTACCTCTTGCAGTGCCGATGGCCCAGCTGTAGTCTACGATGGGACTTTCCGGGTCTACAAAGTGCCAGGCGGCGTGCACGGAGGTCCAGCCGTGTACGAACCTGGTGTGCAGGCGGACAGGACTGGTCTCATGGGCGGGGAAGTTGGGATCTGCAGATGAATGTTGATGAGCAAGATGCATTCTCTGAACCTGTAAGGCGGATAAAGTTTGCATTTAGATACATCAAACATAACGACTCAACAGACGTTTGGCAAAATAGGCAGATATTGGATAAAAGTGAAATGTAAAAAAAAGCGGAACACATGTGCTGGATATACATCCATAAAACGTTTAATTCATTTGAAATTGCAGAGAAATTTTGCATTAGTGTCATCCGCGATCCGCCACTTCCATATAACATTAGGTTTAAGACAACAAGCTTGACCGTTTTTTGCTGATGGGACGTTTCCAGGACGAAATACACACCTGCACGTTGTCCAGAGCAATACCATTCCAGACTCCTGCTGACCCGATAGTGATATTTGACACTATGTTTACGGCTGTGAAGTAGAACACGTGCTGGTGCCAGGTGATGTTCGTGTCCAGGTGCAGCTGTGTGCCCTCCAGGTGAGATGGGCGCTGGTACAGTTTGAAGACGCGGTGCATGCCGGGAGCTTGAACATACCCCTCTTGAGAAAGAACAGGAGTGTTGGAAGGGAAGATGGGCGAGGCCTGGAAGTTGATGCGATATCTTTCTCCTGGGATTGTTGAGACAGACTGGGAGACGGATCCCAGGAGAAGGAGGTACTGGCGGCCATCTTGGCTGGCGGCTTGACTCGGGGAAGAGACGTTAGCGATCCCTGATATCAGCCATGATGCGGGGAGTCCACCGGTCCCGACACTCTATGTTCAGGGAACAAAAGTTAAGATAGACATTATTCTGCGCCGGTACATGTTCAACATAAAGCTTATTGGTATATCTGCACAATAAAATTTCTTTGTGGAGATCTGCACAATACAACTCCTGTCATCATTGCAACCTGAAGGTAAATCATTAATAAGTTTACTCTGTCCTAAGCGTTTTGATATACGTAGAGCATCTACCATCGTGTTCTTTAGCGGTACTCTGTAGGTGTACTCCTCTATGTTATATGCCCACCTGTACATCTTCAAAAGAAGGGTTAGACAGCAGGTTCGTCCCGAAGTTGAACATGTCCAGGGGTACTGGAGCTGTGGTGTCCACAGTAACTCCGTCAGACACGGCTGGAGGAGACCGCAGGCCGGCTGCGTCCACAGCGTACACGGTAGCGTAGTAACCTGTGCCTGAGTGATACATGACAGAGGTTTATTTCATTTTAGCACTTTTATTTAGTAAGGCTTGCGCAAAAAACAATTTGCTTCTCAAAGCCCTTTTTTTTTGCTTTTTTTGTATACTTGTAAGATCAAGAAAATAACAAGAATGATTTTTAAAAAAAGTAAACAAAGTCAAAGCATGCAGCTGGTGTACAATATCAATCAAGTAAAGCAATATGTCTGAAAATGACTTTTTATAGTGTATCTAACAGATAGAACGATAAAAGTAGAGTGCCCCTGAGATGAGTTCTGCCTAGAGTATTGTCAGTGGCGAAACTTTCATTAACTAATGAGACACGATACGCTGTGGCTCTACCTAATAACAATAATTCTATCCAGTTCTTGTATTGCTTCCCACCGTTCTGTAAAGTACACGGAATTTCTCTTGTCAGTGACAGTCTCAGTCCGACGTCTTCACAAGGCCAGACGTCATCCCTGCCAGGTGCAGTGCCGAAGCAGCAGGTGTAATGGTGTATGAAGGACTGCAGGTCAGAGAAGCCGTGCCAGGTGGCCGCTACTCTGCAGCTGCTGTTCTGATAGTCGGCGTCATGGAGCCCAGACCCGTCCTGAACAACCCCTGCTGTTGGGCGTTCTATATCCACCTGGAGGAAGTAGTATAACACCACATTGCATAGTATGACGTATTACTAGTAAAACGAGATGCACCTTATCTGTTTGTTTGCTTCTTTTTATACATGCTTTCATCCAGTTAAACTGTACAGACTATACATTGTTGCAACGGACGCTGTGCACCAAAGATAATGATTTATTTTGTAGTATAGAATTGAACGATGTCTAGGGTTTGATAAAACTTACCAAAACTCCATCCGAGCTGACAGTTGTGTGCATTCCTGCATGGTTGAAGGCCCTGACGTTACTGTAGTACTTGACATTAGGTTCAAGTGTCAGGTCGTGAAGCAGGATTTCGTACGTAGTGGAGGACAAATTGGAATGGCTGAACGGAACGATGTCTTCTCCTGGCATAAAAACACACAAATTCATATAAATAAAACCCACATTCTTAACAATGTCAGCTGCCCTACACGATAGAGGCAAAAACGTCCAGAGTTCACATAAGCAAAATGGACGAAAAGTGAAATTCAACAAATACCTCCAGGAAACGTGCTGAGGGACACCAAGAAATATGCCACGCCCACTTCCTGGTCTATGAAGACGTTCCTCCACCCCACACCAAGTTGGGAGGTGTTGTTAATGAAGTCAACATCAACTACCTGGCCGACGTCCGAAAGGTCATTCACCTACATGTATATACATCAATAAAATTTACTTGCTACTTGCCAGTCCATGATCGACAATCGACAGTGCCTCATGCACTGCTTTAAGGCCGCATTAGTATCATAATTAGCTTTTTAATCTGTACATAATGACATTTGATACTTTTTGTACATAATCAATTCTGTGTATAACTTTTACCGAATTGTATATTTCATGTCTACTGATTTTTGATGTCTAATGTCTAATGTTTATTGTTTGACTTGGTTCCGTATTGTTTTGTATTATCATTTCAGGTTTGGGAGGACAACTTGTAAAGGCGTTGATACACCTGTTTTGTCCTCCCTTCCACTTGTTTTTGCATGTGGTAAATTCAAATAAAGAAACAAGAAGCCATAGGCGACAATTCTCCGTGAAGTTTTATATATTTCAACAAAATCCCAAGCGTCAACGCCAGACCTACTGTGCAGACATTATAATTAGGCAACGGTTAATACCACGCTCGTCCCCAGCGCCCGTGGAGAAGCCATAGGTTATAGATCGTGGCTTAGCCCAGGCTATGGAAAATAAAATTTCTTTAATGCAAATCTGTCGTTTTTGTTTTCTTTGCGCTATCTAAAGGGTTAGGATAACCTACTCTACTCTGGCGGTATTGTCGTGCGCGCTCGCTAGTACGTAACGTTACACGGCGGCCATCTGAATACATGTACACTGCATTCTTTCTACTATCGGGACCTAAAACAAGACGCAAGATTCCTATTTTGGGGTATAAAATGCTGTCACAATGGTAATATATACCAAATGAAACGGACCTTTACAAAGTACCTCATTTGGTGACGCTATGAGGGTGTACCGTTATCCCTCTACATTTGCCCAGAAGGGAGTTAGTCGCGGAAGGAACTTAGCCACGGAGGGAGTTTTGGCATTCTCCGCCCGCGCCACAAACTCTCGTCCCCAGGACAGTTCACTCTGCTACCCAGCATGCTTTGCGCAAAATGCGTTCTCGGCCCCAGGACACAAATACACGCTAATGCTTCCGCACTGTGTTGCTCTGGGGACCCCGCCGCGCGCCCAGATGTGGATTTAATTATAGCGCGCTAGCGGACGCTGCGGAGGAGCGTGGGTTATACAATGAGGGCGCGTCACAAGCATAAAACATACAAAGAGCTAAATCCATTACTGCTCCCAGGGCGTGTAAAGATACTGTGCTTCAAGTTCTAACTTCATTTTAATTACACACACACAATCATTGCATTCACATAAAGATCGGACTATCATGGTCGTGTCTAGTAACAAAGACAGCCCCACCGTCTTACGGTGCCTGTACCTAATTAAGCGCGCCTGGAACAAGCCAAATTCCAGCAACAGTGGCGGTAAGCACCGCGAGTGTTACTACCGCCGGCCAGATAACCAGGATATCTGCTTACAGTACCTCTGCTACCAGACAACTGCCTAAACCTACGGTCTATTCCACAGGATTGTAAAAAGTAGGGATGTTTCGAAAATAACCATTTACTCCAATATCAAAACAGCTACGGTAAAAATAAAAAGACGTGCATCATCCCGGACATAATGCAACACCACATGCGAAATTACACAGATATGCGACGTACGGCAGAATGCGTTTTGGCTGCGAACATCTTCCAAAAAACTTGGCATCTCTTAACCATGGGCAAAAACATCTGGAACCACTTATAAAAACCACCCCGTATCTGCATGAACTTTTACCTCCCCCCCCGCTATTCCAAACAACGCGTTTTTCTGGACCGTTCCAATTCGCCTCGTAATTGTAGGGGTGCGTCTGCGATATTACATTGACCGCGAAAGCAGCAACGGCAAAAATACACATTCGTGCATCAACACGGGCATGCCCGCAGACGGCGTATAAAATTGCGTGCCGATTACACGAAGAGAACCCAGTGTTTTGACTGCGAACATGAAAAATCAGCCGATTACAACACTCCGTCCGGAGGTCCTGACCTCCTTCACGGAGTAATAAAGAAAGAAATAAAGACAAAGTATTAACTGAAATTAACTAAAGTATTGTTTCGGGTGGTTGTGGTTTTGTGTATCTGCTTTAACGGGCAGAAAAAGGTTGTCAGGCAGGAGGAGTGGTGAACGTGAAGGTCTTAGAAACCGGCAATATTGAATTATTCGACATTGTTGGGAATTCGGCGTACTTCTCGGAAGTTTGAAATCTCCTATTTCTTGTTTGTGGAGAACTCTAATCATTAATGTATAGCGAATGGTATTGTTATTACCTAGTTTATGCTAATGTTTGTATAGAAAAAAATGATCAGAATCCTTCATCACCTTTCTTGACTTGGACACAGCCGGTGGAGTGAAGTCCGTCAGGATTCCATTTGAATGGAAGTCCAGGTACTCATGACTGCCGTACCAGGCCCGCACGTGAAACATGTACTTGATTTCCGGCTGGAGAAGAACTACAGAAAATTTTTGTCACGTCACCGTGGAAATGGGTACATCATCTCTAGGCACTACATTAAAAGTTTGATCTAAGCATATTTGACTAGTTAGTGTCAACTGTAAAGGAACCCAGCACATTTACCGAGAAGAGTACGGGTGACTCCGTGTGCTTGGCTATAAACTGTTACAGTAGCAAAGCTTCAATGGCCTGTTCTATCAGCTATCAAAGAAGTTGTTACGTCTCACATCTCACACACGGGCATTGGTTTTTATTGAATAATTGTGATGATTTTCCCGTGCTTTTGTGATTCTTGTTCCTTTGTATGGTCCTTTATCATCCACCTGGAGATCAATTTTACTAATATATGGGACCATCATCATCATCATCATCATTTATCCTCCGTAGAGGTGGAGCATACAAAGTTAGCTCGCCACAACTGTTTGTTATACATCACTGAGAAAAGTTCATGTCCCTCCAAGCCAGTTTCAGTTTCAATAAGTTTCTTAACTGTTATGTTTGGGCGTCCAACTCTTCTCTTACAGGTATCAGGGTCCCAGAGTAGAGGCCTACTGGCTGGTTCTTCACTACGTACTACATGGCAAGCTTAGTCGTCGACTTTTGACTACTGAAGTTACATTTGGTAGCGAACCGTATAACTGTTCATTAGTAGTGTGTTTCCACCATGGTGTATTGAAAACCACTCGCAACATCTTCGTGTATGTTCCGTTTAGTATGGGACCATATTACATTTATCAATTGATTGAATTGTTGATTACATTTTCTTGGCGTTATAACTCGTGGCAAACTGTGAAGATGTACTCACATTCGTCAGGAAGGCTCAGTACAGCCCTGGTTCTCAGTCCCACATCAAACCAAATCCTGTCAGTCACAGTGTCGAACAACAGAGTCCCGGGATCTTCACCGAACTGCCCAGCACTCCACTCAAACCTTTCAAAATGATATCATACTATATAGATTACGTAACATTACACACCGGTACACAAATGCACGTAACATCATCATCCATGTCCCTGCACGTACCATCATCATCCATGTTCCTGTATTTTATACGAAATATGGTACTTGGGACTAAGCCTTGTCTTGCTTCGAACAGGCATGTATACAAACAGATGCTGTGCCATATCATATGTTTGTAGATTATCCAACGACTTAAGGGTTACCTTTTGATTTGTTTCCCTCCAGGAAGGATTTCCCACCGAGCCGCTAATGCACACTGGGAAGGCGTGACGTCAGCATCCATAGGTTCCTGATTCCGCAGGTCGATGACGTCATACACCCGGACCTGCTGGTACGTGGACGGGTCTGTGGAGACTCAAATGTTACGCAACCTGTCTATACGTCTTAATTATGATTATACCATCTATCATTAAGGAAAAAAAGACAAATTATTAAAAGGATAACAATAATTGTGATTAAGTCAGCGTTTGTAGTCTTCAATAAGACAATAACACCGAGTAACTCCAGAGTGACGATACTGCCCGTAAAGACGCCTTTTTTTATAACAACGTGGATTACATAAGTCAATCGTCTCCAACGGCATTTACATGTTGCATGCCTATGGTTTACAGTACTAGTGTACCTGTAACATCATTACAGCCTATGTCTGGTGGTGCACATTTCTGGTTCTGTGGCGCACACGTGCAGTCTCCTTCACACGATTCCGCCTCACATCTCCTGACCAATGACAGGACGCCACAGCAAGGGCTGGACGCCACAACTTCAAAAGCATCGTGCGCTTCAAGACTTTCCAGTCCGACCTACGATATCAGAGTCCATCCTTGAGTCACAAGGTTATTTAACACTGCTGACATGAACTATTCCTTTTTAGCACTGCTCATGTTATGTTGTTGTTGTATTTCCTGATCGACTCACTTATGGTACTTGGTATGGTCATTCTAACTCAGAAACGAAAGTAGGTGTTCTACAGTTGAACCCAATGAATCCAATGGTGATCTGAGGTAAATTTCTTTATAGTGGGTTGATTAATATTCAGACAATGTGTGCTAAACTACTATAGTGACTAAAGGTGTTGTCCCGGGAAAACACCTTTAGTCACTATAATGTCAGAGGATACATAGAAGCAGTCATAATGGCTGAGGATGAAACTCATCGTTACCTTGTTGACAGCCCAGAGTGAGATGTAGATATGTTCCCCCGGTGTCAGGTCCCGGCTGATGTTGACTGAAGCTGTCTGTATGACTCCCTCGTCCTCGTGACTTGTACCGTTCTTATGGGAAATCATCACCTCGCCGCCCTGGAAAAGAATGAAACAACATTTATAACTACAAAAAGACACCTGTAGCGCCCGTAATCAACAATAGTAGATAGTCCAAAATCAGAGGATTCAACGTCATTTCTTTATTGTCGATGAACATTCATTATGTTTGTCAATAAGACTAGTCAATACATTACTTACAGGAGTACGTTTATCCATGAATCAATGAGTACGATATTCACGCACTTCGTACATCTTTTTCTGTATTTATTGAGTTGTACAATTGGGCAATAAAGTAATGCGCGTGGTAGTAAATCGAATGATTGTCACGACAAGACTAGGTATTGATGCCACGATTAGCAATACAATTATCTGGAAATATGTACGCTACCGATAGGTCCCTGCCACTAAACTCTGATCCAATGGTGACGTGGTAAGTCTCAATGCCGGTATGGATGTCCGAGAATCCCAGCCACGCCAGCCTGACGTGAGGAGGGGTTGTACCGTTCTGCTGCCGGTACCCCATCCAGCCGTCCTGATGCCGGGACAGCTGTGCGGCGTGCTCCGTATGGACAGCGAACGTACCCACGGTGGGGGGACTCGAGTCGATCTAGCGAGAAATTGTAGGTTATAAACTGTCACACTTCACAGCGCATTTGTCACATCCATCACGGGTCACAAAACAATGTGCGATGACTTTCTAAGGATATCAAAAAATACATTATTTATACATAATCAAACGAAAACCCTAGAAATATCATCGTTATGAAAACATGGCTAATATCGTATCCGGAACCGTGCTAAATCTAGTTGTTTTCCTAAACGGTTAGAGTAAGGATCAGGGAAAGTTATGAAAAGTCTCTGCGATAGGCGTATATTTCTTCTACGATTCTGGACACGCATGGACTATCCAGAATCGAGCGTGAGAATAGTTCTGGATAAAGCACGGTTCTGGATAAAGTCGCATAAGGACTGACCAGAAGTCCATCAGCCTCCGCAGACGTACACAGCCGCGCCATGTTACAGGCAGTAACCCGTACATAGTAGGTGTTGCCGTCATGCAGCGACAGGTTTGTGAACTTGTAGTCCCGTATGGAGCCAACAACCTGTATCAGTTAAACATAGGTACAGTAAATATTGGTAATTAATACTTCACAAAGGAGCTATTAGATAATCTCTTCCTTTGGAATGTACACTTTATATGATATACATGACGAATCAATAAAAACATATTGATTATACGTACACACGGTGACAAAACACTGATTTTCCTCAAAGTTCCAATACGTTTATATCAATAAATATTTCATTAAAGGGTGGGTGTTGGACTTCCGTTTTAACAACCATTTGCGTATATTGTTCTAGTTTGTTTCGTGCATAAGATCATCATATCGTGCATAAGATCATCATCATTTTCATCCATTTTGTACATACGCTTACTAAATGCTTTGGTATACATGTCTTGTCATGGCGTCAACATACGTTTTATAAACATATGATTCTACCATCTCTTCGTTTGCCATGGTCTTGCCATTTGAAAAAAAGAAAGGAAAACTCGAGGATTTAGGAGTGAATTTACTTAGAAAACCAAAAAATGTAAACATTACCTGTACTGGGTCGATGTCCACGTCAGCCTGGTGATGAGTGAAGACTGACAGGTGCTGCCGCTCTATAGGACTGTCGGGGTCACTGACCTCCCAGGACACGGACACAATTGTTCTCCACACCTAGTATAGAGGCGTTTATAAAATGTGCTCGCTCGGAAATAAATAACTTCACAGTTATCCCATGTACGGATGAATTGTAGATTCCAAATCTAAACACGGTTCAATTATTCTAAAACTTAACGTGTAGATTTGCAGTGTTATGATTAATGTGATCGAAATATAAGATACGAAGCGTGGTTTACCTGGCTTTCAGCTATGATTGACCCGTGCTGTAAGTCAAACGAAGGTCTGCTGGTAAAAGATGGAGGCGTGTCGTCAACTGTGACTCCATTGGACGATCTTTCCACAAAAAGTCCTATGGGTAAAATATACATATACACAGAACGATTAAGGCTACAATTCAAATGACTCATAAACTAGATCTAATCTTTGTCTAGTATCCTACCGTTCTTGACGTACCTGCTTTGTTGTAAGCCCTTATTGTCACGTAGACTGCCTGACCAATCGGTAGAGGTGGATCAACACGAGAGACATACGCCATCTCCGTAAGATGCAGCCTTGAGGTGAAGTACACATCATCTCCGCCAGGGGTCGTGCCTGCACGCCACTCGTAGTGAGACAAACCGGAGTGAGGATCATGGAAACCGAACCAATGGGCTCCCAGGAATGTCCTTTGGGGAAAACAAAAGTAAAACTGAATCATACAACCTTGGTCTTGGCCTTGGTCTGTTATCTGCTTTTATCTCACTATGCCATGATGACCCCATGCATGAACAGGACATGCATATTCTATTTGTGACAAACAGGGATAGAATGCTGTATAATATGCCAACCTGGAGGCCTGGAAAGAGAAGTCCATGTCGTCCACTCCGTCATACACTATCCCCGCCACTGGAGGGGAGTTGTCGATGACGACACCGTCGGAGGTTACAGATGTGCACAAGTCAGCCACGTTACAGGCCGTCACGGTGATGTAGTATCTTTTTCCAGAGACAAGACTCAAATACTTGGCAGATGCTTCTGTGTGGAAATATCGTGATAAGGAATGTCGATGGAGGGTACACATCCAGGTAAAACATTATGAATAAAAATAAATCAAACAACTGGATAAATTCTCTAAAGAATTACACATTTCAAAGCATCTTTCATCAATGACTATATCTCGTACAGAAGTAAGGTCTACTCGGGCATTTTTTGTTGCAAACTTTGTGTTGAATAGGGGTGCTAGTGTCACGGACATGAAAAGAAACCTAGAGTGGGTGTCATTGAAAGACAGACGAAAAATGACGAAACCTATGCGTGATGTACAAAATAACTAATAAACTGGTGGACGTACCAACTATCAAGTACTTAGTAATAGCTCGCTCAGAAGAAAACAAAAAATACCCATGCCTTCAAGTACGAGTACCAGCGTTGTCAACCAAGAATTGAGCCGTTCAAACCCCCCCCCCACTTCTTTCCTAGAACTATCACAGAGTGTAAATCACTGTCACCAATTACAGTTTCTATAAACAATGTTTAGGATTAAATGTTCAAAGATAAGGCGTAACAAGTCGATCGGTGTAATGTAGCCAGCTGATGCCGTGCCACGTGCCTGCGAAGCTGGTGTGTTACGCCGAATGGCGGTTAGTGTACTACCAGAGAGAATTCGTTTGACACATGCATCTTTTGGGTTGGACTATACTATTATGTCAACAGAACACAGCTGGTATAAAGAAGTGTTAACCAACCTTGAAGTAAACCAACATCTTCAGCCTCCATGACGTCATCACATCCGGGACACGTGCCGACGCTCCAGGAGTGCCCCAGCAGAGCTGTGTGAGGGTCGTGAAAACCTTCCCACCAGGTGTGCAGGGTTCCTGTGTCCGTCTGGGGGGGGGGTTAAAGGATGAGCGGTCTTAGGACACTTATAACGCTGTCCATGGTTATTCTACCAGGCTTAAATCCACCATCAATTTGATTTTTTATAAACATTTCTGTTACAAAGGAGGCGTTGTGATCTTTTGAAAGCAACAAGAAACCTGTAGTTGTCTGTACTTTTATTGCCTAAAATTGTAGATAACACTTAAAAAAAGGATTTGACTTCTGTTTCTCTTCAGCAGAGACGGTCTGGCACACTCCATTATAGATATTGTAGCATTTGAGGTCCCCAGTTAATTCTTTATTGAATCTCAAGGCTAACAGAAGATTGCATGCATTCACCACGCTTGTCATGTAACAGGTAATAAATCACCCGGAAGTCCACATCATGTCTGTCCCCACCGGAGACACCGTCATACACAAACCCCTGTACGGGAGGAGACGTCTCCACCACGGCTGCCCAGGAGAAGGCGACGGACGACAGACCGGCTCCGTTATAACCCTGGACACAAAAAGACCAGTTACACATCTCAATGTTAATTACTCTTGTAATTAATCGTATTTTATCTGTTTATTACAGTGACCTTTTTGATGGTCTTGGATAATGTTCATTGTCCAAGAATCGTATGTGAAAATAATCTACTTCTGAAAATGGTACATGAAGAAAGTATAAATCTGTATTAAATCCTTAAAAACATTCTGGAAAATTATTCTTTTTACAATTGATTTAGGTTCATGTTAATTTGTGATAGTCTACATTTGATTCACTTCCATCCTACCATTACAGATATGTAGTACGCATGTCCCTCCTGTAGACGCAGGTCCAGTGCGGAGTCTGACACGGCTTCCTCTGACTCTGTCCTGGTGAGCGCCATGACGTCACAATGGCCGGGCTCTGATCCCACGCACCACTCATAGTACGACATTCCTATACAGTGGAACAATACGGTTAACTTATGTTAACATATACTATAGAAAAAAAAACTTTGACAAGTTGCTATGTTACTGTATTGGTGATAAAATCATGACCACCGTGTCCAGAACAATAGATACAGAAACCGGTAGTCCCTCTACAGTATTAAGGAAAGTCATCCCGACCCTAAAATTTAATCATTTCTTTGATCGGGCCAAGACCTAGCTAAACAAACAATCTTATGAGTGTTGATTAATTGCTAGGAGTTATAATGGTCATTTAGAAACCAGGTACACGAACCATTTTGACCAAGAAGAAACAAAATCAAACATGTAGACAAAATTGGAATGTCTAAAATGACGCGAAGGTTTTCTTGTACAAACCTACCGCTCTCAGTATCGATAAAGACCCTGTCCCAGCTGGCAGACACAGATGACGTAGAGATAAGATATCGGCCTCCTACATCTACATCAGCGTCAGTCACAACTGGAGCCGTGACGTCAACTGTTACTCCCCGGGACACACTCGTCACGGACAGGCCGGCATAGTCAGTCGCTACAGTAAGGATATAGTTGGGACTTCAACAATAATAAAGACAAGGCAATGTTCAGTTCAACAGCTGAAATAACGCACTCAGTAGCGATCATTACATTGATGACATTTTTTTTTTCATTCATCAAACATCAAAAGATAACAAGGGCAGTGTGGCGCTGTACTCAAGTTTAAAACCTATATCAAAAGCGCCACACAACAACAAAGTACAATTAACATTTAGATACACAAAGTTGACATATATGTGCGCCGTAGTCCCACCACCCTAAGACATTAAAAATACTAATGCTAACAAAGTTATTTAAAAGATAAGATTACGTGTTAACCTCCTATATCTCATTGGCGGAAATACATCCGCCAGTCAGAGCTAGCTGTAGAAGGAGAATTTAGGCCCATTAGCACATTTAGTATTTTGGACTTCTATATCTAATTTGCATTGTTAAATGCTGTACATAGAGGGTAACAACGTGGAGCCTCAAAGAATAAAGTAAGTTTAGCATTATCTGACACATTATTAAGGCTGACAAGATGACCGAGTAAATCTGCAAGATTGCCAAAAAGTTCCGATCTCTCATGATTGTATAATGGACAATGTAACATGAAATGCATGACAGATTCGCAACGACACCCGCATCTACAAGAGGCACTGGTAGAGAGTCCTCGGGTAAACAAACTGTGATTTAGAGCACAGGTGCCGATGCAGAGCCGAACAAGAAGGGCTCCGCATCGGCAACACACCGAACAATTGATGGCAATTAAAACAATGAGCCTTCTCAAGCACGAAAAAGACCAGATAACATACACCTTATATGTTTCTTCCAAATTAAGTCTAATCCTTTGCGCTATGCGTATACGCATAATACTTGGCGTATGCGTATGACATACAGGTATGACGTTAGCGTTCTTTCTGACAACAGAAACTAGCTGCTTTGATTGCTTTAACGACAGTTTATTTTTGATTGTCTTCACTACGAAACTATTATGTTGAAAGATCATACCCTCCTAGCTTAGGGTTATTATCTCTGAACAAAACAGAATGCCAACAGAAAACGACCCACCCAAATCCTTACCTCTAACAGTTGCATAGTACGTGTGCCCTGAGTACAGCCGGAGACCATGTACTGTTGCCATGTTCGTCACACCAACATCCATGAAGTCCTGAACGTCGACACCATTTGGACTGGTACCTGTGAAGAAAATACACTTGTATTTTTTTTTTTACTTTTTAAAATTCTGTTTGTCTTGGAACAAATATCAGTACAAGTCCAACCTAAATAGTGACAAACCCTTAAATTAAGTTATGATTCAGACTTCAATGGTCGAGTGGCTAATACGTAATCAGGAGTCCGAGACCGATAGGTCATGGTTTCAGCGTCTTGCATTCCTGTGCTATACCCTTGGGAAATGCACTTTACATGGCTTTCCTCACTCCACCTAGATGTAAATTGGGTATCTGACTTTGGTTGGGGAGGTAAAAGACGGAGGATTAGGAAATTTTCGGACTCCGTCTGTTAATACTGTACCCTAGACACAGTGGATATTATTACACTTCACTGTCCCTATGGCCTCAACAAATGCTATGGGACTACTTTTACCGTATGGCAGTACAATGAGTACTTACCAATAGCAACTTCATACTTGTGAATACCGCTATGGTGAGACGACATGCCGTGCTCCTCCACGTCACGAAACGTGTTCCAGTAGACTATCATCTCTGAGGTTGATGTCTTAATGGGGAAATACGTTATTTATGTCATGTCTGTGTGTGGTGGAAATTCTTTGGACTAACTATGGGGATCTAAGCACACATTTTGTTTTTTATTTATTTGCACAGATAAATGTAATCATAAGTACACATTTTTAAAGAAAATACAGCAAAGAAAACTAAAACAAATACAAAACTAATACAAATGAATCTTAAAACAGTATATTTCTTTTCTTATATGCCACGATCAGCATGTACATCATATTTTTTTCTTGGTCGGCTTACGTTGGAAGTGAATTTTTGAAACAATTGAGTCACTGCATATTACCTGGAACTGCCCGACTTTGTGGTTGACCCATACTTGACCCGGCAGTGGAGGGGTAAGATCCACGGTGATGCCGTTAGAACAGGAATCTACCTCATCCAGACTCTGGTCGAACAACTCGAAATGCAGAACTGTGGCGTTAGCATGAACACAGATGTGGTACCTCCTGCCGTGTAGTAACTCTACCTCTGGGACGTTAACAAAGTTTTCCTGGAATAAGATAGGGAATGATAATGTAAGTAATAAATCAGCCATTATATATTACCATATATAATAGACACATAGAATAAAGTGTCTTCATTGCCTTGACATCATTATCAAAGTTGTTGTACACTTACCTGGTACAGAATGTTTGAATAAGAAGTGACATATCATGGCAATAGTTGCAGTCTTCTCATTACCTCCATGAAAAATGAAGGTATCGTTTTTGGCGTGTCTGTGTGTGTGTGTATGTCTGTGTGTGTTTGTGCTTCCGCACATTTGTAGTCAGCATAACTTTAGAACGCCTTTATGGATGGTGATGATATTTGGTACGTTGGTAAGCCTTAGGAAGAAGAAGGTCAAGGTCAAGTATGGGTCTCCTGGTGGCTGACCTTGGTACTGCAGCACAACTAGCATTTTGTCCGGAACATGCTATGGTCTTGATGTTTTTGTGAGAGATAGCTTTTTCTGTAAGGAATTAGTGGTGTGGATATTGTCCCCTTAGCAGCTTGTTCGCAAACTGCAGGGAACTTTCGGGCGAAATCTTTAAAAGCCAATAAGTCCAGATAGGAACAACGTATTTTCATCATTTTTGGTATGTATGTAGCTGAAAGAGAGTTGTACATAAAAATATACAAATTATGCAGAAGAGGAGTTAATTTGCATAATTACAGAGGAAATTCTATAATTACAGTGTTTTATATAATAGTACTGTTATACATGTAATCTATTTAAACTGTGGCAGGCGGAACATCAACAAATGCCAGTTATGCAAATGATGACCTAATTTGCATACTTAAGGTGAAAATTCTGTGACTCCTTATTGGTGAATAATGGTAATTTTATACCTTGTGTATGTTTCTTAAAGGTTAACACCACTATGTAGAGGTCATTTGCATAATTAATGAGGACATGTTGAAATGAAGTATGAGAAAGGAGAGGAATACACGAAAAATATTGTCATTTGAATTTAAAAGACCATAAATTAAACTAGATTATGCTAATTACCACCTTATTTCCATAGTTAATGAGACAAATAAAAAACCACTTACAAAAACTCATATATTTCATGGAGATATGAGATCTCCGAATTCTTGTTTTTTACTTGCAGATCACAATTATGAAATAGCATTCCCTGCTATCCTCTCCAAGCATATTTCATTACAATTATCGTGACATAAAACCTCACCTCAGTCTCTCCGCAAGCCAAAACCTGCGGGGCGCTGCAGTCGTAATCGGAGTACCGCAGAGCATGACGGGAAGTGACATAAGCCCAGTTTTGAATTGACTCGTCAGAGACAACCTTCCACCTGTAGTGCCCGTGTCGCAGTGTGGGCCAGACTGCAGACAGTTTGTCACGGGCAGATGTGAACTCCTGGTCGGGTAGCGGCCACTTCTCATTTTGTGCGAGGTGCACATCACTACATGTTAACAAAAGTAAACATATTTAATAGATACAACCAACTGACTAAAGACAAGGGTTCGTAAATTTGTTGGTTGTTATAGTTGTAAATCAGATTAGTAAACAATCAAAATGCATTGTACCACAGATACTTGGTTGTTCCATGTCGTTTGTAGTGTAATGACAGTGTTTCACGTACCTCATGTGTGTTGATTCTAAGGTTCCTACTGCATCGATGACTGTGGGTGGGATGATGAGGATGGGATCGTACGCGTAACAATCCAGCACGTCCCGGGCGACGGTCGAGTACAGACCGACCCTGTTGGTCCCTCGGATGAGCAGACGGAGGCAATGGGTGAAGTCTAACCTATCATCTAATGTTACTTCATGGGTCAGCTGGAAAGAAAGGCAAAATACATGTCAATCTTGGTTCTCTCTTTGGATGAGCATTATAGAAAAATGTTGGCTAAATATGTATAATTCAGAATTGATTCGATGAGTTTTATTTCATATCGTATTACATATCATATTGGCATTCGGTGCTTTTTACGCAACTTATGTAAACTTCGACACTTGTACATCATGGAAAATAATAAAAAATGAAGAAACTCAAAGGTAACTATTTCAGTATTGATACAAGACCTACGGAAGAGCAGATCACACTGTCCTTCCTGGGTAGCTTATGATTTGGCGTGGGAACCCCTGTACTCTATATCTTAATAAGACTTGATGAACTCAACCTACTTGGCCTTCAGTCACCATTTCGACATGGATCGGTTGCCACGGTAAAATGATGTCACCATAGGCGGAGCCCTTTAAGGACATCTCTGTTGCTAAGTTCCACTCATAGTGTATGAATGGACCTTCAGCGTTAGACTGGGCTGTGTCATCATGATCAAACTGCTGCCAGGTGAACGTTAGCACCCTTGCCGTCCTGTTGTAACTGATGGAGGTGATCTGTCCCGGGGTGGGAGGGTTGTGGACGACCGTGAACCCATCACTGTGTGCGGGCTGCAAGACGTTCACATCAAAACGTGAATCATTTAGTAGCATGGCTTAGACGTTTTACTTATATAAACAGTAAGTACAATTGTTTGGTAACTTGGTGGCGTATCTTCTAGATTTAAAAAAAGTAGTAGGAGTTAATCCCCAAGCAAATCTTCTCTTGGCTGCAAAGTATCAAATTGGCCAGACAATATTTAGTTGCAAGAATGAAAAGAAATGAAAACACAAAAAACACAAAAAAAAATAAAGCCTAAATCTCTCGTTGGAAAGTAGTATCAATGAGATACCTGGAAACATCCGGACGGATGGCACAACTTGATGACAGACCGGTAACGCTGCGAGTTCAGAAGGGTCAGTCCTGTCCACGTGCCGTGACTGGACATCCGCATGTTCCTGAATTCTGTGATTCTTTCCCATGAAGGCACTCTGGGAGAATCAGTAAACGCAATTATTTTTTAGCAAACAGTTTTTTTGCTTCGTACATGTGCGGTGCTAAACGTAAATCATTCTGAATTTCACCTCCATGAAAAATGGAGGTGTTGTTTTTGGTGAATCTGTGTGTGTGTGTGTATTTTATTTTCACGGGTGGTTTTCGTTACATGACTTCATTGGAAGCTGAAAGCTACAGTACAGAAAGATTTGTAGACACGATGGTGAATGACAAGAGGGCAAAGTCACCATCACACGACATCTTAACATTTCATGGAGGTCATAAGTCTCCAAGTTCAAGACCCAACAAATTCGTTAGAATCATCTTACCCACTGAGTCGAACTTCTCTCTCCACGGCCCATTCCACCCGGCGTACGAACGTCTTCACGGCGGCAGGAATGGTCCATCGGGCCTCGACGGTTGTTGTAGAAATCTGGAAATCTTTGTTTTCTGAACACTTGACATGGCTGAGATTGGCATGATGGAAGAAAGTGTTGTTGGTATCTGAAATGTTTAGAAATAATACGTCTAGTTCGTTGAGCTATGAGATGAAATAATAGTCAGAAAATGACATGAAAATATTACTGTCGACGAATGTTTATGCATAGCACTGTAATTCAACTGTAATATTAATCATACCAATGTTTACTTAAAAATTCATATATGATCCATACCCATAATACAGCCAAGACCATCAAGAACCTGCGTCCCGTTGATGACGTCATCATCTCTTAACACTAGAACACCGTCTGACGTCACAAAGATGTTTCCGGATTCAGTACCAGCCACAACTGTGACGTAATAGGTCTTAAAAAATATGAAAGGTTTTTTAACGGCCACATGCAAGAAAATCATACTAGAAAATGTATCCATGCTAACGAATGAATTGAAGGACGAATGAATTTCTAGTTGCAGAACTAGAAATTTCTAACCTGAAAAGTATCCAGATTCATGCTGTGGGCTGTAAAGCTGGTGTTCTGCCCTGTGTAAGTAAATGGACAGACGTCCGCCAGCCCAGGCTCCGTCCCGATGCCCACTTGATAGGTGACGTCCTGATGTGGATGTGAAAATCCCAGCCATTCACAGCTGATGGTGTCAGTGCTGCTTTGGATATCTATGTCAGCAGGACGCTGAAAACAGAGACCAAAGTTTGTTTTATATTCTGACAAACCCAAAGGACCGTTTACTCTCTGATGAGTTCATTGAACAGCTTATTCAAGTTGGTACGTCATTGAAAAGTTAATTTATTTAATCACACACTGCACCACAATCAATTTCGCTAATAATGTACATAAACGAGGGTAAGATACTACAAAAAATCCGGAATTAGCCACAACGTCGGTGAACAAATTGCGGTATTTCTAAAAGAAACTTAGCTTGTACAAGTGCATGGTAATTACCAAACGATTTCCGACTTACCCCCAAAATGGAAGGTTCTCCTGCTGCTGGATCCACTTCCATGACGACCCCCTCTGACGGAAGACCCACAAAGTGCACGTACGGCTGTGAAGTCACCACGGTGCTGAGACCAGCCGCATTCTCCACCCGGATGGACACGTAGTACGTGTGCTGGCCGTGAAGATGCCAGTCCAGGGCTGATAGTGGGATGACCAGACAGGTCGGTGGAGACGTGATGTTGCAGAACTTGTCATCAGTCGGGAATGGTGCAAAATCATGTACTTCGGTCGTCCCCGGGTGGTGACCTGGAAAAAGAATTTACACTTTATAAAGACATGCAGTCTGACATAGACTCACAAACATTTACATCCAATAAAATCACTGCATACAGGCAAATAATAATTTAGCCTCCTTGCAGGCGTTTCTAGATCGAGGTTTTTCAGGGGGGGATTTGTAAGTTATACCATCATGATCACGATTCACAATTCTGGTTCCAGGGATAGCATTCTATGGTTGGCGGACAGATCATCTAATGCATGCGATCTACGTTTGATCATAATCGTGTAACTTGCAAATAACACACACACACACACACACACACTCCAAATTAGGAAAAATAAAAATAAAAACGCCGACCGATCCCAGAACGCCTGCAAAGAGGCTAAAAACGATTCAACGATTCAACTATCAACGATAGTACAACACTTACCAACAGAGTACTCGAACTTGTAAAATCTGCCTGTATCATCGATGTCGTGGACTGATGTCGGTCTAGAATCCCATCTGGCAACCAACGCCTGACTCCCGTTATTTTCCTCCAACGTTACCTCGATCACGCTTGAGAACACTGGTGGGGAAACGTCAACGATAAAAGGCCCTAAAACCTGTGGGGAAAAAGGTGAGGAATTCAAGCTTATTCCCTGTTCCGAAGGTAAAGCAAGTTATATATACCACCCGCATACCGCATATATACATTAACAAAGCTTACCTTAGTTGTAGACATCTGTGCTCTGTTGATAGCCTTCAGGACTAAGTAGAACTGTTTTCCTTCGTCCAAGTCTGGATGGTACGTTGTGAAGTGGGGATGTGCGTTAGTTGATGTGAACGGCAGTATGTCAGGCAGATCAGGGGACAGCGTGCTGCTAAGCCCAACCTCGAAGTCGTATATTTCACTTTCAGGGTCTTCACCATCCCATCGTAGTGATAACTAGTTAGAAAAGCGAAAAAAAAATACCACAAAGTTAATTCTAAATCTGACCATCGTCTTGGATACGAGTATTACAAGGGTTTTAATGTGTACGTTAAAAAAAATGACATAGAAACAAAAACAAGAATAGTGTACTATACCATGTTCTCCCTTGATAAGAAGCCGTTGCCAGAAAAGGGACCTGCTGTAAGACAGTCGCTGTCTGAATACCCCGGAAGTTCTGTTCCGTTCGACAGTAGATTTTGAGCTGGCCATAAGTTGACGTCATCCACTTCTTGAGAAACATTCCTTATGGGAAATAGAAAATTGATCTATATGACGTATGCAGATCGTAAGTGGATATTATTAAGTAAGCAGAGGATCGTAAGTTGCAGAAAGTCTGTGCCGCCCCGACTTTCTGCAACTTATTAATTAATTACGATCCACTGCTTACAGAGTCACGTGTAATATATGCATAGTTACTGTCGAAAATTTGGGAAATTTCAATATCTTGTGTTGGAAGCTTCAGTTCAAACTGCTTCATAAGGACTTCTACCAACATAGATTTTTAAAGATGAGTTATTAATACTCCTCTTGAAAAAAACGTTTCTTATATCTCCGTAGTGTTTTTTCTCTACCTGCATGTTGCAGACGGTTCGTTGATTGGATGTCTGAGTCCACTGCTGTCCACCAGCCAAACCTTGCCGTCCATCCCTCTGACCACTCCCGGTGTGTAGTGTAGGTTGTCCACTGCCAGGTCTGCTATGACGGGCGGTGTCATGTCTATGGTCACACCGTCTGAGCAGACAGGTTCGGACGGTTCCAGCGCACGGTTAAAGGCGATAACCGTGCAGTGGTACAGGCCTGGGTGTGTGGCTTCCCATTCAGCGTGGGTTGACGTGGTGTTTGCTACCTACATGTGGAGGAGAATGGAAGGAATTTCGATGCTTTAGCCCATTACTTTACCACAGCCCGGCCAGTTGATAATTAGATTAGCAAGGCCCAACACCCTTTTTAACATCAAATTGAACAAAGTATTTCATGTGATTAAAATATAAAGAAACTAAAGTGTTTTAACAGATGGATGGAGGGCCGGTGATTATTATGATCACGTTGATAAAGCGCCATTAGCAACATGTTTGTTATTGTCAGAGCCAAGTTTTCTTTGTCAGACAACCGAAAATGATTGAGAATCATGAAGATCGTTCTATATCACAATGCCAAATGAAATAACGTTTCTTCCCTTATTCCTTAAACGCGTTCTTACCTGATAATTACTAGTATTTCCGAACTCAGTCACATTTTCCAACGTCAGACAGTCCTCAGCAAAGCCGTACATGTAGAACATGACGCCGCTTTCCCTGTCAAAGAAACCTTCCCATGATGCCTGTATGACGGTGTCCTGTTGGAAGTCCAGGTCTGTTTCCGCCGGCAGACTGTCATGGACGTGACCGGGCAGAGGCGGGCTGGTGTCAACGGTGATCTGTGAAATCCGCAAGTTGTTGTATTAGTTTGGTAAATGAATGTATGAAGAAGGTTCATTGTCACAACCGAATCAGCTTATTATATACTATGTAAGGGATGATTGTTAAATTCCCTTATTACCGTTGGTTGTCAACATTTATGTATATTTTTCATATATGTGACTGCTCTCAGTTTTGTCGGCAAACTTAGCAGCGACAGCTAGGTGCAGTGCGAAGTGAAACCAATATTGCCGGGAGAAAGGTGACACTGCACGAAATGGACTCGGATTATAGCAAATCCTGAAGATCCGAAATCGTGCATCATGACGGATACGTAGCAAATCCGGAGAAATCCGCAATCCTTACTAGAATACGAAGTAGCACTGCAGATCCGACAATTCCGGCACCGTATACGTCCGGATCTTTAAGAAATCACAGATACAAATTTGATATTCGCAAGGAACCTTCTTTCTCGGATATGTTATAAGTTCGGTTTTTAGGGGAGTCTGGAGTTGCCTCGGATCCTGACGGATACAATAAATACCCATCATGGCGTCATACATGTACTACCACGGATTTCAGCAAATCCGCCTGCCGGGCATTAAACGGATTCTAAAATAACCCACAGGGCACTGCTGCTTTGGACTCTCCCGCAGATTCCGAACAAAATAACAGAAGCGGGATTTCGCGGATCTCACTTCCGCAGATCTGAACAAGATACCAGAAGCGGGATTTCGCAGATCTCGGTTCCACAAATCCGAAAGTGATTTGCAGCAACGGGATTTTGCGGATCTCAGAATTTCGTACTGCTATGGATTCCTGGTCCCACAGATCCGATAAAGGTACCAAAAGCAGAATTTTACGGATCACGGTTCTGCAGATCCGAAAACGATACCAGAAGTGGGATTTTGCGGATCTATCTTCCACAGATCCGAAAGAGATACCGGAAGCGGGATTTTACGGATCACGGTTCTGCAGATTCGAAAACGATACCAGAAGCTGGATTTTGCGGATCTATCTTCCACAGATCCGAAAGAGATACCAGAAACGCAGAGAAATTTGTGAATATCAGAATTTCGCACTTGACTGACTCTTACTATGGATTCCAAGTTTCACAGATCCGAAAAAGATACCAGATGCAGATTCGCTTCCACAGATCCCAACAGATCCCACTTGGCATTCATATGACCTCATATGGATTACGAATCCCGCAGATCCGAAAAAGATACCAGAAGAGGAAATTTTCTGATCTCGCTTGCACGAAATCTGGAATTTACCAAACTTATATAGCATGGGTAATACTATCTTTCCGAGTTTAAACAATCTGCATCCCTTATAATCGGGTACCTAACACGTACATGTAACTTTCTTGAGGAAGGCAATGAAAGGAAGCAAAGTCTAAATGATGCCTCTGATTGGCCAGCTAGCGTACGCATGCGTACCGTGTTGGCGGTTAGAATGAAAACCGTTAGGAAAGTTGGCTTCGATGCAGGGGAAAACTAGAGAGAAATCAGGCGTTTGTATCGCTTTTTTTCGTGATACCATGATGCCATAACCAGTCTACCATGATCGGTCATCGAGTTTGGACAGGATTGATAGTGTTTGGACAGGAGGGGGATGTGATGTCAATTCAAACGCACAGAATAGTGACGTGTGTAGCAAGCTTCGGCGCCCCCTCCCCCTTGCACGGCGGCCCTGCGCACTTGATCCAACACATCGGGCGTTTGGTAAGTTCAGTTATCATACCTATTTGGTTATTGATATGTCGCTGCCAGAAACATTATAAAATGCATGTCTCTAACTAACCTGCCCCCTCCACATTATAGATGAAAGGTTTTTAGGGGCTTGTCTTTGTAGGGTAGCAACTTGTTCATACTTTCTAACGGTCAATAGGCATTCGTGCCGGGCCAATCTCGTCTTGACAAAAATAGGGAGCAGTTTTTAAAAAAAGTGTTCAGTATTTTTATTGTATTCAGGTATAGTCAATTTGTCAATTCCTTTATTATATGTCTGGTAGAAATTTTGATCAAGTTATATGTTACTTTTTGTCCATTGAAGATGCCCAAGTTTTCTGACCAATGTAATTTGCAAACAGCAGGGAGTACTACAGGCGGAGCCTCCTCATCTCGAAGACGTTTATATAAAGACATGGGACGTTTTGTCACCTGTGTATTTGTTTACCTTTTTATACCTCCAGGATGTATGTGACAATGTTTTGCTAGTCTGTCTTATGATGTATTAAATGATCCATGGCTTTTTTGCCAACAGAAACTGGATCATCGCCTTGAAGGTGAAGAAACCATACAGTAAGCGGCTCAAGCTCAAGCTGTCCGGAGTACATGTCACCAGACGAGCCAGTTTATGATGAAAATGGAAATATTTTTTTACTAAGGCCATTCTTTGGCTGCCCACATCTACAAAATACAAAAGTGAGCTCGACCAAAAATTTGAAACTTCATACTAAAGTGAACAGGTAAAACGGCAGTGAACAAAGAGGGTACCTGGCCCAGTGACCCTTCTTCCACTTCCAAGTCTAAAAATCCCATCATGTTAGAGTTGAATCAATGGATTTCTAAATGTTAACTTAGGTCCAGTATTATTTCTGGTGAATTTTCTGAGGCCAGTGAAACACGTTTTCCATGATTTGTGTCCGAATATGTACCCCAAGTTCACTCTTTGGGGGTAACTTTTCAGTGGACAGAAATGTTTGTTACAGTTTTTGTTAGTTCACTATGATTTGTGTATGGATATGTACCCCAAGTGTAAAGGCATAGCTAACTATTTTAGGGTAACTTTGGGCAGAATAATGTTTATTAAAGTTTTTGTTTGTTTACTATGACCTCAAGTGTAAAGGCATAGCTTACTGTTAGGGGGTAACGTTGGACAGAAATATTTGTTACAGTTTTTGTAAGTGGTAACTTGTGGATAACTATGTACCCCAAATGTAAGGACATAGCTGTCCACTTAGGAGTGGTAATTGCACACGATATGTTTCAGGCTATACTGTGTATTGATAATAAACTATTTAGTTGCAGGAGCTCCTATTAAGCCTGTACGTATCCGAATGTATCCTGAATGGGAATATGGTGAAGGTATTAAAGTTCAAATCCTGAGTTACGCATTTGTCAGGGGTCATTTCTGTACGAATCCCGGGCAAATCCGAGCGTATTCTGTGTGGAATATATACTATAAGAATCCCGTTTTTCGGATTTGTACGGAATAGGTTCCGGATTGCAGTAACCGATGTTTCGGATTTTCTGGCGGATTCCATTCTGATCCGTCAGTATCCGCTTGTATCTGCGAAAAATACGGACAAATCCCGGTACGCATCTGCTTGAATCCGAGGCCATTTCGTGCAGTGTGACAGACGACCATCGAAACGTTGAACTTGTAAAATTATTGGTTAAAAAAGGAACCATGTTACACAATCACGATGGTCAAATCGGGTCGAATTTTTCCTAACACGCTGCTCATGAATATTCACTGTCAATCATTCATTTAGCCATTGACAACAGTAGCTGATTGGTTCGCAGGTTTGCAGGCGGGGACAAGAAATGTTTTGATCGCTCCTCGCCCAGCAAGATTTTCCCGCGAGCTTGTCTTTTGATATGCGTGCCTCGTCTCCGCCCCTATTGTTCTTCGCTTCGCACGTTTTAACAATGCCTCGGCCTTCATCTGTGTCTTCAATTTTACCTCTAGGGTTACTGTAATTCCTGATTTGTTAAATTTCAGTTAATTTTAGGACTTAAGCAGTCACTATTCCATCGCTATAAAAGATTTCACCGCAAGTGTTTGATCTTTCCATCCCCTCCCCGAATCTTGCTGGACTATACAAGCTCGTTACGATCGATTACGTTACGATCGCAAATCACGCCTCACAAGTTCTTGACTACAATTTGAACACAACGTACATGTAATTCGTACAGTAACAAACAATACACTGGTGGTCATCAAAAAATAAAAATTTATTGTACAAAAAGTATTTGTTTTTTGTACAAATGCCGTGAATAAACATACAGGAAAAAGCATGAAGCAATGGCGTCACTGCTACGCTTTGAACTTTCACGGCTTGTTTACACTATGGCTTTTATGAATATTAGCTCATAATTACGGCTTAGAAGATATCTATAAATCTACAGACACAGCAAGGCGTTCATCTTGTGCAACTAGGAGACAATATCGAAAAAAAATGAGACTTACTAAAGCCAGCGTCATCCATTGAAGCGTCCAGAAAAGAAACAAAATGGCCGCCCGGAAACACATACTCATGAAGTTACACAGCTTTACAAACGACTTACGGCTACGAGAAATGCGACATAAATTTGTTATATTCCGGGGTAAAGGTTCAGTCGAAAGTTTAGTGGCATGTGTACTTCAAAATGTAAAGCGTTAGTGTGCTACGGCTGTAAGACGGAACGGAAATTCGGAAACAAATAATTTGCAGGCATAGTCAAAGAAAGGAACAAAATGCCGCCACAATTTTGAAAGCATTCGAGTCAACATTTGCGCCAAAAATACGATCAAACGTTAGAATCAAAGGCTATGGTGTCTGTATGTCTTTCTTAATTGCGTCCTGGATGGTATTTACCCCTATCCAAGGGCGGGCGATGACGCCGGGCTTGGCTGTAAGCTGGTCCACGGGCGCCCCAAAATTGACAAACTTGGCGTGCATGCAGCGGCTTGCTGGTACCCTGGAATCCAAACTCGCTGTCCGGGCCGCAAAAGCCCTTCGCCCGCTGGTGTAAATTACCGCTACGGGGGAGTCAAGCCCGGGGGGGGTTTGGCTGGCCTTCGGGCTCAACTCCCCCGTAGCGGTAATTTAGGCAGGCGGGCGAAGGGCTCTCGGCTGCCGAAGGAAAAAGGCTAACGGCCCGATACTAGTTTGGCATCCAGGGTAGCTTGCTGGCGACGGCACGCGGTGCGTGACACTATTACGGACTTTTTGCCCATGAAGTCCCAATTTATTTTGGATTTATATTTGGTCTTCCCCGTAAACTGTCGACATTTTCTTTTTGTTTTTATGTATTTTTAATGCTGTTGTTGTTCTTGTCCTTGTTTATCGTCTATCGTTTTTTTATTAAATGCACTAGCCGTGTTCGCTAAAATCTAGTGCCGTGAGCTTGCCCATAATTTTTCCCCAACCGCGATACTTGAGTAATTTCTAAACCGGGATACTAGCAACATCGTTTTAATCCCTTCTACGACGTCAAGATTTTTAGACCGCCCAAAACCCACAACCTTCTAGTCGGAACAGATTTTTGGTCAATTCTCACTTTTAAAACTGCCGCGCCTCTCGATCTCAAGCTTGGAAAACAATAGCGGTCCGGCCAGGATTTGCATGTAACTGCACTCGAGAACAATGAAGCCCGATAATCAGTCTCTTTGAGGGACGCCGCCGTAGCTGATTATAGCTGAAAACAAAGTCTTACTTCCACGTGAAAGCTCTGAGTAAAGGGTACATGTAATATTTTGGCCCATAACTTTTGATCTAATAAGGATTTTTTTGACGAAAACACCAAAAATCGAAAGGGCACAGTCCCGCCGCCATCTTGATGACGCGTTCTTGTTGTTCTATGGAGGCTCACGGGAATTATACCCCAATCTAGGCCGAAATCTACCCCGAAATTTACGTAAATGATCTTAGATTTCGCAGACATCGAGTTTAATACCATAGAATTAAAAAATTATTGGTGAGATTATAGATTAGGACTTCAACTAATGTTTAGTGCGTAAATTGGAAAAAAAATCCTTATTAGAAAGGTCACAAGGTTCAAAGTTCAATTGCCAAAAGTTGCCGGAACTAAACACTAGCGTAAGAAGGGCTTTTTGAACGCTGTAATTTGCTGTCACGTTTTTACTTCTTCTTATTTACAAAGTCAACCTGTCTTCTTTTCGATTCTTACTGTAGTTTCTCGACATGATATTCCGATCATGCGTTATTTTGAGAGATATTTGCAGTATTTACTTGTGTATAGTGCCTGGGTACAGGCACGAGGTAGGCACCCCGCGGTGAGTGGGCGGCGCACTCAGCCATAGCAACGCGGACAAAAGGCTAGCAACCGGACCATCGTGAATTACCAAAAAGTGTTTAAAAATACCGATAATGTATGTTTACGCATGACACTAAAAACAAACGCTGCATTAGTGAAGCAAAGGTAAAAAGAAAATTTACAGCAAAAGGGTGATGACACGAAGCGTCTGTGCAACACTACCCTGCATGATAAAGTCCACAAACCTGGAACCTTCCTTGTGTTTGCAGCATGGCGTTGTTGGTGACCGTGATGATGATGTAATAGTCGTGGTCGTGGGTCCCCTGTGAGATGTTCATCTTGTTTTTGTCCGGTTTAAAGTCGTGGTCACGGAAGTAGCACTCTTCATCTTTGGGGATGCAGGTACAAAATGGAGGGGGGCACTCGGGATGGAGAGTCTATGTGAGTTGGGCAAATTCATGGTGTTAGTGAACCTTGGATAGAGAGACTTTGGGGCCTCTTACCATTGTTCTATTGGCTCGGAATTTACATAATATACGTCATTTGAAAGCTTATATACATGATTCAAATACATTGAAGTTATACGTCTTGTGAATTAAAGACTTCGGATACCACCTATGGTATCGTGATCGGAAGCTATCTAAAGAATAGAACATAGTTTGAACTTTTTAAGAAAATCGTTTTTAATTTTGATAAACTTTGAATTTAATTCCTAATAGAGGTTTAGCTCACGGAAGGCCTCCTGACAGTGACCTGTCCCTCCCCATGGACGACTGTCGGGTCTGCCATGTCGTGTAACTCCCAGTGGATGTTATGAATGCCGCTGTGATCATCGTACGCTGTGACAACGACTCTGCAGTGAAACAATTTGAACTGCTGGTTACTGATTCAAATGACGCTATATTATCAGTAAAACGTAGCAACATAACCAAAAGGCATTTTCCTGGTAACAATTGGCGAGTAGGCGCTACCCTACATAATACAACAATAGAAAGAATTCCAATCTATGAAAAATAACCTTACGTCATCTCAAAAAGATCTTGTGAGTGATGTACTGCCAAAGTGTGTACTCCGCCTCGTGACAGAAAAATGCTCTCCAGCACGGGAGGAGATGAGTCCACGTGAATGGTGACGTAATCGTCGAGAAAGTTGCTCATGACGTCAAAAGCACGAACCCAGAAACGGACCGTGTCTCCGTCTTCTCTAGGGACGTCACGACTTTGTCTTTGTAACTGGAAAGGTTGACGTAATTACTATCTGTAACCATGAAATTAAGTACCCAAAAGCAAAAAGATAGCATCATTTATTAATCTATATTCTAAAATGTCCCTCTCCTCCAGTTCAAAGTTAGAGTTCAAATCTGACCAGAGTTCGAGTAAGTTCACTATTAGTTTGAGCATCACTATAGCTAGTAGTGCACGGCGTACGCAAGTTTCCTATTATTATATAGCCCTATCGCACGACGACCATAAGATCTTGCTTTACCGTCATATCTGAGACGTTCTGCCAGTTTCCCGGCGGGCTGCTGAGACTCCTCCCGCCCTGATGGTCCACAGCCCAGTCTGTCTGGAACAGCAGGATGGTGTTCACGTTCGGGATGGCTTCACGGGACCGGGTAGCTGGGGGCTGGCCTGAGAATAACAACGTAGTTCTGTTAATGTCTGTCAGTTAGCTGGGCACTTTTGTAGAGGCGTGGTCACAGAATATTGTAACTGCAAGGAGAACATGCAGTCCTTACAGTCTCTAAAATCCAATCATTCTAATCATTCAATATTAATTAATTAATTCAATATTAACTGAAATATAGCTGGAAAATATTTGCCCTATTTCAGTTATCCCAATTTCTTAGTTAAAATGAGATAACTGTGATTAAAAATCAAAGAGCACAGAGAGAAAATGCGTCCATAATTACCAGTTAGTTCTTCGTACCCAGGCAGGATGGGTGAAGGATGTTCTTCTATGGCGTTTAGAAACTTGTTGTGTTTGTGTAGTTGGTTGCAGAAGTGGTCCGGCCAGGAAATAGTCACCTGAAGGGAAGATTATGTAACACGTAAGCATGCTGTAGAAACTCTGAAAATTGACAAATTGGCACAACACAATACGGTACATCACCTGTGGTCCATTTCCCGTGGCGTCTTGTAGGTTGGTTTGCCACACCCTTCCGGTGACGTTAGAGGCTGACTCCGCCCACATGGGATGGTGCCCGGATGTGTCAGCCTGAACTGTACTGTTGTCGTCATAGATGAGGAACCTCCGTGTGATGACGAAGTTCCCGTCATTCGGCCCGCAGCCGTCCTCAACAGTCAGTACTATACTGTACACTCCTGTGGTGAAGTGGAAACGTCTGACATTAAGATGTTGTAAGTTTTGGCAAAGATAAAAATGACACATTACCACGTTATATATCACTGTCGCGTTACTGCCATGGTACTATCGCTTAACTGTCATGTTAATGTCACGTTACATTTGGTATTGCCATAGGTAACACCCATTGAATTTAGATTATATAATATTATCAAGGCCATACTATATTTTGTTAATAGATGGTAAGTATAAATGCGTGGTGTGCCCCTTGGTGGACAAAGTTTAAATAATTGTTTCAGCCAATGCACAAAAGCCATACATTGTACTCATATGTACATCTACAATAAAAAGATCATTTTAGACTTTTTTCTTGCTTTAGTAATATGAGTTATCGCACCTGGTTCAGTAAGATGAATGTTGGCTTGACTTGTCGCCGCTCCAACCCTGCCTGTCTGTCCGGGTACAGGAGACAGTCCTCTCATCCCCAGCACGTCTCCGTACGGCCGGAGTTTGAACACCTCGTACTCGTACTCTCCAATCCCCGAGTCGTCATCTCTCCAGCCGGACCAGCGTAGGGTGATGTCACCCTGGGGGTGAAGAAGATGATATACAGTGGATGGATGAGGACATTGTGAATTTCTGCCCCACTGGGTTAAATACAGGTCACATGTTGACAATCATATATTAACTTCTAGTATACTCTAGTGCATTCAACTTCCTCTCGTTTTTTTAGTAATAGTAGAAATATAGAAGGCTGTATGATTATAGTTAGAGTTGGTTTGTCGAATGCTACATAAATTTATATCTTTACTATTTAAATATTTAAAGTGGGGGAATTGTACTTAACACATAACTGAAAAGAATGCTTCTATCGCTATCATACAAAGGTAAAATTTACTTCTACTCTACCTAAACCACAATAAAACATTCTAATTAGAACTTTGTTGCACGACAATTGTAGCCGGTACAATGTTTAAAAATACGGACATGATGGAAGCTGATCTAGTATCATTGCTAATTGCTAATATCTAACAATTCTGAAAAGCTAATATACCTTCCTGGATAATTGAAAGTTAAGACACTATAACAACTAGTAAGCAGTATAACTCAATATGCTGAGGAAAGCTGTATATATATATATATATATATATATATATATATATATATATATATATATATAGATAGATAGATAGATAGATAGATAGATAGATAGATAGATAGATAGATAGATAGATAGATAGATAGAATTAGGTATTATATGAACAGGGCATGATAAAACACACATTTACTTATATGTTAAGATCAGACTGTCATTGGGTAGAGAATATGACGATCTGACATAGTCCATGCAAAGGAGGCTCTTATTTACGAAATCATTTAGTAAAAATGTATATTTCGTCAACCGGAAGAGTAAAGATCGCCTGGAAATGGTATGAGGTCGGGGAATTCTTGCTATAAGTTCATTCATTCAAATCAATTATTAACTACAATTCTTTTCACGACATCTTGATTCACAAAAGAAATTAAATTTGCTATGTTGACTGCAATATGAGTGGTGGTTTCAAGCATATTAAAACGAGTAAAACGCCATCAACATACGTTTTTGGTAATTGCTTGGCCTCTCTCCAACATAACACCAGTACAGGGTCCTCTGACTGAGCAGTGGTACGGATCGTGGAAGTCAAACGTGAAATGCGCGCTGTGGGACACCTCCCTTCCGGTGTAGTAGTGGGTGCGAATCGTGGTCCAACTGTTGTCGTAGTTATTAAGTTTGACATACCCACCGTTCGTCGCCTTTGTTGTAAAGTACACCCTATACAACGAAGAAACACACAGTTACACATCATATGTTTACCGTTACGTGTTGTATATGTACACTATACAACAAGAGTTCCGAGATCTCATACCTCCATGAAATATGGGCTTGCTTTGTCCTCATCAATTATGCAAATAGCCTCTACATTAACATAATGTATGCAAAGTGATGCAAACCTTCAAGTAACTTACACATGTTACGAGGTATAAAATTCCCATCATTCACCAATAAGGATTCACAGAATTTTCGCATTAATTATGCAAATGAGGTCATCATTTGCATAATTGGTATCTGTTGATGTTCCGCCTGCCACAGATTAAATAGATTACATGTATAGCAGTACCATTACATGAAACACTGTAATTATAGAATTTCCTCATTAATTATGAAAAATAAGTCCTCATTTGCATAACTTGCATTTAATCATGTACAACTGTCTCTCAGGTACCTACACACCAAAAATGATGAAAATACGTTGTTCCAATCTGGACTTATTGGCTTTGAAAGTTTTTACCAGAAACTAACCTGCAGTTCCAGAACAAGTTGCTAGGGGGGCCAAACTTACGCCACTTTTTCCTGACAGGATAAGCTATCTGTCACTAAAAAAGGCAAGACCATAGCTTGTTCATGACAAAAGATACAAAAACCGGAAGTTCTGCTGGTAGGTCTTGGAAAGACAAAGGTCAAGGTCAAATATGGGCCTCCTGGTGGATGACCTTGGTACTGCAGCAGAACTTCCTGTTTTTGTATCTTTTGTCCTGAACATGCTATGGTCTTGATGTTTTGGTGACTGATAGTTTTTCCTGTCACGAATAAGTGGTGTGAGTTTGGTCCCCCTAGCAGCTTGTTCCGGAACTGCAGAGCACATTCTGGCGAAATGTTTAAAAGCCAATAAGTCCAGATAGGAACAACATATTTTCATCATTTTTGGTGTGTAGGTAGCTGAGAGAGAGAGATGTGCATAATTGAATGCAAAATATGCAAATGGGGAATTTATTTGCATAATTAATAAGGAAATTCTAGAATTACAGTTTTTTACATTATACTACTTTCATACATGTAATGTATGTAACCTATGGCAGGCGGAACATCAACAAATACTAATTATGCAAATGATGACCTAATTTGCATAATTAATGCGAAAATTCTATGATTTCTTAATGGTGAATGATGGGACTATCATACTTGGGACATATGTAAGTTAATCAAAAGTTAACAGCACGGTGCATATATTATGTTAATGCGGAGGTCATTTGCATAATTAAAGAAGAAATTTACATATCAAGCCCATATTTCATGGAGGTATGAGATCTTGGAACTCTTGTTCATGGAGGTAATAATGATGGTTTCTCTCTTTCTTTTCATTGCGATATCGATAAAACAAGCAGTTGGTGTTTTGAAAACTATCACTAGATGGCCTACATGTACGTACCTGTCCCCATGCTGTGGTTCCTCTGGAATCATGACGTTCTCAGTACAGTCTTGCATGGCCGTGTTTGGCGAATTCGGGCTATTCCACTTGCACGTCAATGTCCCCGTCTGAATGGCTATATTGCCTAACAATTCAATGGTACGTGGAATAATGATAAACATCATCGCTGCTAAAATGGCCAACACAATCCAAGCATCAATCACAAACAAAATTTTTGATCAATAATGTATAATGATGTTTTAATCAAATCTTTATTTTATAGAAAACCGTGAGTAATAATGTAACGAATCAGCAGTAGACTTTATCCACACGTTTATACAATACCTCTCTCCATTCGCCAATCGGCCGAAGCCGCGATCACCCCTATCCTGTACCTATTGATGTAGTACTGAGTAGACGGCATCGATGGTTGGAACGAAGTCTCCCATTCGGCCTAGTGTATAACACAGTATTGCATTTCAACTGCAATATTATTAGCACTTTAGAAACCTGCAAAAACCAAATATTTTAGTGGGGTAGGCTGGCGTAAGGATAGAGCGTTCGGCTCGGGACCAGTTCGAATCCTGCCATGCCACCGATCTTGTGCCCTAGGAGAAGGCACTTTAAACGACTTTCCTAACTTCAAATGAGTAAGTGAAAATGAGTATGTCTATTGTCCGGTCATGCGTTTGTCGTCTGCGTTAGTGGCAGCATAAAGTAAGTTAAGGAAGCTTCACTGCATCAGTTTGGATAGGCTATCGTGTAAGCTATATAATAATAGCGTTAATGGCCCGCCCTTTCGCTGCGCTCACTTGGTGGCTTGATGAGGTGGTTATAGCACCTGACAAGGCTTTATCATACCATATTCACCTCAAGGCGGGTCATTAACCCTAAGGCTTACTTAAAGTTTCATTACATGGGAAGGGTGTATTTTTGTCCAAACATCTTTGTTTATTAAATAATTGCCTATCGCATTTGCCTACTCTCATGCGCTGTCTTTGAACAGTTCACACTGATTAGGTGAATCTGATCTTCAGAATTCATACAAATAAGGAAATACCTCAAACTGCATAGTCGATGCAGTTAACCTAAGGTTCGTCCAGGATGTGGATGTAGCTGACGTTGTCCTGCAGTCAGCCTCCACTGTGTCCTTCTCAGTACCGTTCTCAACTCGTTTTATTTTCCCCAGGCAATATTGCATGGTGGGTGGGACACTAACTACATAATTAAACATATTTATGAAAATTGGTAATTGCAATAATGGTAATCTTTTTTCCATAAAATACATCCTGTCATGTTGACGATCAGCTTTGCTAGATATAATAAGAGGTAAACTGACATTATTTGTTTATGCCAGATTTTGTTTACAGAAGACAGTACTGGTACAGGAAGTGAAGAGCCCTTCACACTTAGTGAGAATCAAAAGGAGTCAAATTTCGCACAGAACCAGGCAGAACAACGAATTGTTAAAATCGTGCAACTCTAGTCATATCCATAACCCTAGTCAAAACCCTAGTCATATCCCTTCACACTTGGGGAGGAAAGAGCCAGAATTAAATTCCATCATAATTCTTTGCATATAAACCTCGCTATTTCAAGTGCATTGTTAAAAAAGTGCTTTATTCGAAATATTAGGGCGAGTTCGCTTCTCCCTCGAATGCGATCAGAATGTTTTGAACGCTGCTCGAATCGTTAGGAATATTTAGAATGCTGCCAAACCTCAATTAGAATAAACTTCAATCAATTTCTGTGAGCGTTGAAAGAGGCAATGCTTCGCTTACTTGTCAAAC